TAATATAATACATAGTAAATACATGATTATAAAGAATGGGGCTGAAGGGATGGGGCTCAATGTTTACAGAAGGACCTGCGTCGATCCCCCCTACCCACACAGTGGCTCACAACCATCTGTAGCTCCAGTTCCAGGGGACCCAATGACCTCTTCTGTCTCTATGACACCAGGCACGCAAATGGTGCACAGAAATATGTGCAGGCACAAACACCCATACACATACAATAAATCTTTTAAAAATATTAACGAACCAAGCTGGGCGTTGGGGGCACATGCCTTTAATCCCAGCACTCGGGAAGCAGAGGCAGGCGGATCTCTGTGAGTTCGAGGCCAGCCTGGTCTCCAGAGCAAGTTCTGGGACAGCCTCCAAAGAAATCCTGTCTTGAAAACAACAACAAAAAACCCCAAGTGTGTGTGTGTGTGTGTGTGTGTGTGTGTGTGTGTGTGTGTGTGTGTGTGTTTGTGTGTGTGTGTGTGTGTATGTATACCAGAGCTAATACCATGATGGGAAGATTACAAAAGTCATCTAGACCCCAACTGCAAATTACAGGACAGTTATAGTAAACACTATTCAGAGTTCAGAGTTTTCTGGGACTCACTATGTAGCCCAGCTTGGCGCGACACCTGGAATTGCAGCCACCAGTCTCCAAGCCTGGTTTCTCTGCACATATATAAAGCCTTAAATTAAGGAAGTATTGTTAGATATGGTCTGCACCTATATATGAATGTAAAAGGTGTGCACAGGAATTTCAGGAAAATCTTAATTTTTAAAATTATCATTTTGGAATTTATGTTTATGGGTGTCTTGCCTGCATGTGAGCTGTGCACCACATGCACAGTGCCTGAGGAGGCCAGAAGAGGGTGTGGAATCCCCTGGAACTGGAGTTGCACACAGCTGTGTGGGTTCTGGGAATGGAACCCGAGTCCTCTGGAAGGCCAGCAAGTGTTTTTAACCACTGATCCATCTCTCTAGTCCTCGGGACTTATTTAATGGCGCTAGGAAAGCGATAAGGGGTTTCAGAGAGTATACGGGTGTGGGAGGAATAAACCTGTGACGGTGGCATTCATATTTTAACCAGAGTAATAGGACTTGGGGGAATTCACTTATTTTTTAGATTTCTTGTTCTCTTCATTACTTTATGGCCCAATATTTTTTTTTTAATAGTTTTGGGGTCTTAAAGATTTATTTATTATGTGTACAGTGTTCTGTCTGCTCGCCAGAAGAGGGCACCAAATCTCATTACAGATGGCTGTGAGCCACCATGTGGTTGCTGGGAATTGAACTCAGGACCTCTGGAAGAGCAGTCAGCGCTCTTAACCGCTGAGCCATCTCTGCAGCCCCTGGCCCAAGATTTGTATTTGAGGCAAATAAGCCAGGTGTGATGGCACACACCTTTAATCCTAGCACTCAGGAAGCAGAGGCAGCCCAGACTACACAGTGAGACCCTGTTTCAAAAAACACCAAAAAGAAGGCTAGCGCTAAAGCTCAGTCTTAGAGCACCTGCCTGGAATGCACCAGTGGGGAGGCTGGGGTGGAGCACCTGCCTGGAATGTACCAGTGGGGAGGCTGGGGTGGAGCACCTGCCTGGAATGCACCAGAGGGAGGCTGGGGTGGAGCACCTGCCTGGAATGCACCAGTGGGGAGGCTGGGGTGGAGCACCTGTCTAGGATGCACCAGTGGGGAGGCTGGGGTGGAGCACCTGCCTAGGATGCACCCATGGGGAGGCTGGGGATGTGGCTCAACCACAGAGGCCTGGCCTCATATCCACAAACAAGAGGCTGGGTGTGACCGGCTGATACACTTTGCCCATAAATCGCCAGTGAGAGTCTAGAGGTGGGGCTGCAGGGGAGAGGAGGACGAACGAGTCCTGCCTACTTGAGTTGAAGCAGGGGTGTCAGCCTCTCCTCAACACTCCTGTCCACACTCCTGTCACCCGTTGTTCCCAGGTGACTCTACTGGACTTTGGTGCAAGCCGGGCGTTTGGAACAGAGTTCACAGACCATTACATTGAGGTGAGTATCCCCAGCCCTGGGGCTCCTGGAGGAAGGGTCAAGGCCCAAGCTAGAGAGTGAGGACAGGGCGAGAGGGAAAAGGGAACTGGAACTGAGAAGACGGTTCACACTAAAGCACCTGCCCCCACGCCTGATGCCCTGACTGTGGTTCCTGGAGCCACATGGTGGAAGGAGGGAACTGACTCCGTCACATCCTCTCACTGCCACACTTGTGTGTGGGACATCCACATGCCACAACCCCCCCACATACACATTCACAGACACACACACACTCACACACACACACATTCACACACACAGACACACACACACTCACAG